TATTAAGATTTACTTTGGTTTAGCGAAGATCCTTTAGACTTCAACATATTTTTCTATAATTCTAATTTAAATATTAATACTAGGGCTGACCTCATCAATAAACATAATATTATCTTCAAATAACGTGACACCTCACCTTTAATACCTTTTGTTAGAATGTTAACTCATCCATAACTACAAAAAAAGATAACAACTCAAAGCAAAATTATAGTGTAAACTTTCAACTGTTGTAAAATAATTTGAAGTGTCATTGGAAGCCTTCACACAAATAGTAATATTCTCCTTCATTAATATCCTTGATTGTTTTTGCGTACTCTTAATTTAAAAATCCATCAAAAAACTTTTCTTAAAACTCAATAATATAAAGGATTTTACATTTTTACGGCTGCTGCTGTACGTACAATAATTAAATACTTGTCAAATATATATTTGAAAGCATTAAATGCAGAGAATCATAATTATACAAAGAATGAAAGCATTAAATATAGAGAATCATAATCATATACTATCGTTGCTGTACATAAAACGACTGGAGAAATAATTTTACCCAATATAAATACCATATATAAAATTAATTTTTTCTTGATATCTCTTCAGCAATTTTTTCTTGAAAACTTATATATTTCATAATTCTTTTTAAAAAAAATTGTTAAAAATTATAAAAGTAATACAAAACTACAACATTATCAAATAAACTAATAACTTTGATAGAAAAAAGACTGATCAGATGTCAATACAATAAGAATTAATAACTCTTCTTGTATTAAAAACTTATTTGGTTATGGATTTTAATAAGAACTTACTAATTTAATATTGAAAAAAAAATACAAATTTTTTTAAGTAACGAAATCTTGATAAAAGATTCTCTTCCCTGATAACAGCATGGACAGAAAAGTAATATGGCAAGACCTTAGGATGCTTGCTGGTAAACGCATTGAAGACGGTGCATAGGGAAGAGTGCAGTGGAATATGTGGTGGAGTGGAGGCACCCCGTTTTCGGTGACCGACATCCGTATATAAGGGTCCTTCCTTAGCTACCCAATCAGGAGCCTTGTCATACTCGTACATACAAATAAATCTTAAGTGTATCTGTTGCATCTAGATTCAGTGCATCCTATCAACGGAAGCATTACATATCAGAGGAGAGAGAAAGAATTTGGCAGAAGAAAGAGAATATTGACTGACATGTAATATTTTTATTAGTGGAATGTACTGAATCTTTGGTGCAATAGTAATACCAAAGATTTATTCCATACATACCCATGTCTTAAATTCTATTTTTTTTTTTTTTTTTTATACTTTCACTCCCTCCCCTCCTATTATTCGCCACTGAACACGTGTCTGAATAAATCTTTGCACTCCTATTATTCACTACTGAACACGTGTCTGAATAAATCTTTGCAATATGTAAACAAAAAATATCATATTATCTTTAAAAAGTGAAAATTAAATAACAGTTGATCAGATGATATAACTTTTTTTATACACGTCCATAAAATGAATGATAGTGGCAGGATACTCCTTCAAGTGCTCCGATGGAAAAATAAGATGTTATCGACTCTTAAGTCAGTATGAATTATAATTATAGTACATAAGATAAAATATTTATGTGATTCATATTGCTCCTTAATGAAGATGAAGACCCCTATTATATATAGGGTATAATAGGGACCATAGTTGTTAGTATGATACGATTCAAAAATTTTGTGATACATATTGGTTGATTGTATTAGAATGAGTTTTGTATTGAATTTTGTATCGTATGATACCGTATTAAATCATGTATTATACAATATAAAAAAGTAAACAAAAATTGGCAATTTTCATTTTTTTGAAAAGTATCTATTGATTAGGAAAGATAAATAAAGATATAATTTGTGGTTCAAATTCAAAAAAAAACTAAAAAATCATTATTAATAAGGGATGAAAACAAAGATTTGATTTAAATTCAAAAATAAATTAGCAAAACCCAGTATTAATTGTCAGGTCTTGATAATGATAGTGATAATATTAATCTTAATTATTGATAAATAGAAGAAGAATAAATTTGAATTTTTGTTACTTATGTGTTTTGTTGGTTGAATTCCTTTTGAAATTTAAATTCATATAATATTATATATTTTAAATTATACTTTTATATGTTACGATTCAATATAATTCCCGTTAAACGATATCCTATTCAATAACCTTGACAGTGGCCGGCTGCTTAAGAGTCTAAAAGAAATTAAGATTTTCTCCTTAATCATTAGACTCAACGCTTAATTAAACTAAACCGCATATATATCCGGAGTAACTTTCATTTCCATTTCCATTTCCTTGCTCCTTGCCAAAAAGTTTGAATAATGAAATAGTAATATAAGATATATAATAAAAATAAGGGTTCGCTTTTTTTTGCAGTTAAGTTATCTGCAGTAAGTCAATACGACGTTGTTTTGGTGGAAATCATGATATTTTTGTAATTTTAATTTATTTTAGAGTTATAATAGTCTTTATATTTAGAATTTTTTAAGATTTCAATATCAAAATGACGTCGTTTTGAAAATAAATGCAGATAATTTATCTGCTGCAGAAATATTTTTCCCTAAAAATAATGGGTAACGCTTATTCAAAGACACTTTGGTTTTTTTTTTTTCTCTCTCTTTTCATCTTATTTTTATTCTTTATGGTTAATTTCCTTTGTTGAATCTTTCCCCCCACCTTTTAGGGATTAAATTGTTCTCACTGTTTTTTTTTTTTAGGTCTAGTCAATTGTCAAACTTAAAAGTGTTCCCATTTATTCATTCTTATTAAAGAGTGACCGCATTGAATTGGAGTAGATATTTGGTAGTAAAGCTTAACTGTTTTACAAGAAGAGTAAAAGGCTCTGCCAAATTACACAGTGAATATAGATAATATTTTTGAACACTGATTATAAATAGTTAGAAATTGTCCATTTAACGAAATAATTTACTTTAGCTCCGAGACTTTAGAGGAAGGAAATTTTTTTGGTGTTTCAGATTGCATGTGATCCTTTCATCTGACACTTTATATAATTTTTTATTTTTTATTTTTTCCCAATAATTATTTGATTTCATTTAGTCTGAATTATTGAATTAACAATAATTCGGAATCATCGAAATTCTTCTCATAAAATTTAAATACGATAATATAAAAAATTAAAAATACAAATAAGTGATTCGCAATTAATGCTCTGTTCATTAAACACCAATTTACCTTGACCAAATAATGAAACTACTGCCTTTGCAGCATTGCAAATTATTCGATTCCCCCTACCCTCTTATCGCTTTGCATCACACAACGCTAATTTAGTTTGGTTTGAGTGTTTTTGGTAAGATTTAAGAAGGCAAATTTTACCTCATTTTTTCGCTTTTTAATTATGAGTTAGGATATTGTTATTTTTAAGTTTTTCTATTACCAATTTATTATTATTTTAATGAAAAAAGTTATATTTATAATATATTTTTATTTATAAAATAAAAATATATTACAATTATATTTTAATTACTGATTTCCGTCAATTAACGGTTTATCATTTATTGTGAATTAATAATTAATTAATGAATTTGATTTGTGAAATTAATTCATTATAAGAAGTTATAAACAAAAACAGGTTATAAGTATAATGTTCCTCTGCTCCAATATAATTATATATTTTGGGTAGTATATTAAACGTTGTTTTTCTTTTCTCTCTGTTCAAAACTTTTCAAATATTACCAATTAAAAAATAAAATCCAACAATAATTATAGTAATAATAAGTTCGTAGCAAATGAAATTGATAGTAAGAATATCTACTTCTTTTGATATATTTTCAACTTTGTATTGATTTTATTCGAGAATTTTTTTTTTAGGCCGATAAACTTTTTTTTGTACCTTTATCAAAATTTAACAGTTTTTTTTTTTAACTTAGAAAGTAAATTACACTTCAGTCAAATGTTTTCTTTATCCCTTTAATATATCTACCAACAGAAATGTAAAGAAGAATAAGAATAAAAAATTATAAAAATTTAAGAATATCCTACTTCTTTTGATATATTTTCAAGTAGCTTTCAAAAGAACTATATCTGTAAAATATTTTAAGCGGCGTTTGGTTGAGTAGAAATTTTTTGAATACTAGAGAAATGTAATTGATAGGGAAATGATTAAAAAATAAGTTTGGTAGGAAAATGTAAAAAAAATTGTTTGGTTAGAAAAAAATTTAATGGGCAAATTAGATAAGATTTATAAAGTCTATGTTTGGTTTGAGGTAAAAAATAGATGGGAAAATAACTTCAAATTACAAATATAACCCGATAAAAAAAAGTGAAACCTTGGCACTTTAGATGAGGGTATTTAAGTTTATTAGTGAGTTGCTCTTTTGCCATTTAGCTAGCTAAATGTAAAATACCACCTCAAGTTATCTTTCTAAATAGTAACTTTGCCTTACTTTCTATGAACAAATAAGGAATGCTATGCAAATACAAATACCTAAGAAAATTTTGTAAAATCATCTACCAAACATTACTGTCTTACTTTGCCAATTTGATTTACATAAGTAAGTTTTAAGAAATCTTCAACCAAACACCATCTAAATATTAACAACATAAAACTTTCCTTTAAAACTAGTTAAAAAGTAAAAAAATATCACATAATAACAAGCTAGAGAAAAAAAAAAGGGACAATGATTGATTGAGATCACATAAGGCAATAATATTAAGGGTGGAAAATGGAAATAAATAACAAAACACAAATAAAAAGACAGAATCTTAGCTGGATCCACCATTACCTAAATTTTAGTCTCTCCCTTTCTCCATTTTTTTTTTTTTTTTTTCTTTCCCATCTCATTCAACCTTTTTCACACACACACACACTCTCTCTCGCACTAACAAAAAAGAAAAACACAACACACACAAACACAACAAATCTTGTTCCTCAAAATCACATTTCCCACTCTCTCTCTCTCTCTCTCTCTCTCAACATTCAACTTTCAGAGAGAAAGCACATAACAACACAGAAGAACACAATGTTGTGCAGCTTCTCCACCATTACCCTTACCTTCACCTTAACCTTGTTCCTTCTCTTTGCACCTCTTCATTCTTCACAACCCATCATCATCATCCACCGTAGGATCCTCCATCAACCATTTCTTCCATCTCAACCTCCAAACCCTTCACCACACTCTTCTTCTTCTTCTTCTCCTCCACCTTCAAACCCCAAGTACCCTTTTTCTTCCATAACCCCCACCACAAACAACACCACTACCCCTAATGATTCTTCTACACCCTTTTTCCCTACATACCCATCACCACCACCACCTCCTTCTCCTTCAACCTTCGCTTCCTTCCCTGCTAACATTTCTTCTCTTATACTCCCTCAACCCCCCAAATCCAAATCATCTTCTACTAAGCTAGTCGCCGTCGCCATTTCCGCCGTCGCTTGCGCCGTCGTCGTCGTCGCCGTCTCTTCCTTCGTCTACTGCCGACGCAGGCGTAAAGGCTACTCCGCCGACGAGAAAACACTCAGATCCGACAGTAGCATTCGCTTGTTCCCCCGTGAAGCTGCTTCCGGCGCCGGAAACAGAAAGTCGGCGAGGCAGAACTCTTCCACGAGCTCTGAGTTTCTCTACCTTGGCACCATTGTTAACTCACGCGGTGGAGTTGATGATCTTCCTGATTCTCGCGGCGGTGGTAGTGGCGGCGGTGGTGGAGGTTTGAATCCTCGGAAAATGGACTCGCCGGAGCTTCAGCCGCTTCCTCCGTTGGCACGGCAAGCTTCGAGGCTACGCGATGATTCAACCACCGTGACGGTGGAGGATGAAGAAGAGGAATTCTACTCGCCGAGAGGGTCTCTTGGTGGCCGCGAAAGCTCCACCGGAACCGGATCGGGTTCCCGGCGAGTTTTCTCCGCCATTGCCGCCGATAATCTTGTCGGTCGTAGCAGCACTGAATCAAGCTCAACTTCTTTCTCTTCTTCCACTTCTGCTTCACCGGATCGGTCTCATTCCATTAGCCTCTCGCCGCCGGTGAGCATAAGCCCCAGAAGATCACAACCCAAGTCGCCGGAAAATGTACTAACCCACATTTCTACTCCTCCTCCGCCGCCGCCGCCACCACAACCACTCGCCGGAGGCGACGGTAGAAGCTCATTATCGTCATCCACACTATCGTCACCGCTAGTTTACCAACAACACGTGCAATCAAAATCTTCTTCAATGTCTTCAACTCCAGAGCGAGCCTTCGCCGGAGAGTGTCAGTCACCGTCGCTGTCACCGCTCACACTGTCACGGAACGAAAACCAAAACACAGATGGGTCGAGTGTTTTACCTGAAAAGACTCAGTCTTGTGGTTCATCGCCTAAGAAAAACGAAGTTGCATCATCGCCGAGACTATCCAATGCTTCAAGTGGTGGCAAGTCTGTGTCTTCTTTGTCTTCAGGGTTTTCTCTACCGTCACCTGAGAAAGTGGCAATGATGCATCACGGTTTGGATCAGTCTCCGACTATATCTGATGTCTCAGATCGGTATAGGCATTCTCCTCTTTCATCTTTGCCTTTGTCACCAACCTTGCTTTCATCACCTGAGAGAGAATTGAACACTCAATCAGCACCACCTTCTCGGAAGCAATGGGAGATTCCAGACCTCTTAACACCCATTGGTGAATCACCAATGAATGTTGAAACTGTTTTGCTTCAAAATGGGGTACCTCCAGCTCCTCCTACCTTGCCACAGAGGAAACATTGGGAAATTCCGGTTCTTTCAACACCAATTGCTCAATCTCCTAGAGTTTCAACTCCTCCTCCTCCTCCACCACCACCGCCTCCTCCGCCGTTGAATGTGCCGCTGCGGCAGCGGAAGCAGTGGGAAGTGCCTTCTCCCTCTACACCTGTTGATCAACCCATTTCGAGGCCACCGGAGCTTACCCCTCCTTCTAGGCCTTTTGTGTTGCAAACTCCAACAACAAAGGTTTCTCCTGTTGAGTTGCCACCAAGTTCTCAGAATTTGGGGGTGATTGAGGAGAACTCTGAGGAGGCATCAAAACCCAAGTTGAAGCCTTTGCATTGGGACAAAGTGAGGGCCAGCTCTGATCGTGAGATGGTGTGGGATCAGTTGAGGTCTAGCTCTTTTAAGTAAGAGATCTTCATTTCTCACTATGTTACTCTCTTGTTCTTTTGTTATAGCTTTTTTTGATATCTGTGATGGTTACTTCTTTGGAAATGGCACTTAGTAGTTGATAATTCATATTTGTATGCTGCTATCACTGTTCTTTAACTATGTAGTTTAAATTGAGTTGGCTGCAGGTTGAATGAGGAAATGATTGAAACGTTGTTTGTAGTGAACACACCAAACCCCAAACCTAAGGATACCACTCCACGCTCAAATCTTGCCCCGCAAAATCAGGAGGATAGGGTGCTGGATCCTAAAAAGTCCCAAAATATTGCTATCTTGCTAAGAGCGCTTAACGTGACTATAGATGAAGTGTGTGATGCACTGTTAGAAGGTATTGTCCCTTGTTTATAGGCTTGAGGTCATGACTTTAAATTCTCCATGTTTTGTGGTAATTATTGACTGGACCTATCTTTGAATAGCTTCTCGTTTAGGTGTTGTGGTCATAGTGACACCTATATAAATTCTTGCTTGTTTAGCTTCTTGTTAATCTTTTTTAGTTATATGTGAAGTTGATAGTTACCTATTTTAAACTGTTGCTGGATACAATGGGAGATTTTTAACGGAAAAAGACAGAGATAGGTTGACCATAACTTGGCGAAATCTTTTGATTTGGTTTAGTTGTTGTGTAGAAGTTAGGTGCAGGCTTCACTGAGAGTAAGATATGTATGCTGTCTAGATATTGGGTAATAAATGAAAATGTTAAAACAATTAGTGTGATTATTACATATCACTTGGTGAAGCTGGTGGACAATTTTGTTCTGCTGTCTTATTACTTTATTTGAGTAGAATTTCTTTTAGTTGCGTTATTTCTGTCTTCTGGTAGCATAGATGTGTGCAACCATAAATCTATGCTTTTGTTAGTTTATATATTTGTTATGTGGTTCTCAATGTTTATCAAGTACCAAATGATAAGAGTTTTTGTGGTGTCTCTTGTTCATGTTGTTCTTCTCTATAATGTTTTTTCTTTGCTCAGAAATGAAATGAATGGTTACTTCTTTATCTTTTAAAAGTTTGCTTGTGGTTGTGGCCCTTGTGCATTAGAATGTGCTGATTGACAAATGTTCTGAATGACTAAATCTATCCACCATGATCCAATTTTTAGTACTTAGATGCTGATTATGTAACTAAATCAATTTACCTTTTGACAGGTATTACTGATACACTTGGAACAGAACTACTAGAAAGCTTGTTAAAAATGGCACCAAGCAAGGAAGAAGAACGTAAATTAAAGGAACATAAAGACGACTCTCCAACCAAGCTTGGTCCTGCTGAGAAATTTTTGAAGGCAGTGCTTGATGTACCTTTCGCCTTCAAAAGGGTGGAAGCAATGCTTTACATAGCCAATTTTGAGTCGGAAGTGGAGTATCTTAGGAAATCCTTTCAAACTCTGGAGGTAACGAGTCACTCTTTTCCTACTGATTTATTTATTTCCTCTCCCATTATTTCTGTGTGTGTCTCTTCCCATTATTCTCTGGTGATAGAGGCCAAGCAAAAGCTGGTAATGATGTCATATATGATTCTTAGGTGGTTTCTCTTGTGTATGTCATGAGTTCTAGTATCTTTGCATTTACTGATTGATGTTTTTGCAGGTGGGTTGCGAAGAGCTGCGAAACAGTAGAATGTTCTTGAAGCTTCTAGAGGCTGTTCTTAAGACTGGGAACCGCATGAACGTGGGGACAAACCGCGGTGATGCTCATGCATTCAAGCTTGATACACTTCTCAAGCTGGTTGATGTCAAAGCAGCAGATGGGAAAACCACCTTACTGCATTTTGTTGTACAAGAAATTATTCGAACTGAAGGTGCTCGTCTCTCAGGTAGTAATCAAACTCCAAGCACGACTACGAGTGAAGATGCCAAGTGCAGGAGGCTTGGCTTGCAAGTAGTATCTAGTCTAAGTTCAGATCTAGCAAATGTGAAGAAGGCTGCCGCTATGGATTCTGAAGTTCTCAGCAGTGAAGTGTCTAAACTATCCAAAGGAATTGCACACATTGCAGAGGTTGTGAAGTTAAATCAAATGGCAGGATCAGATGAAAGCAGTCAGAAATTTACAGAATCAATGAACAAATTCATGAGAATGGCTGAGGAGGAGATTCTAAAAATTCAAGCCCAAGAAAGTGTTGCTTTATCCCTAGTGAAGGAGATTACAGAGTATTTCCATGGGAACTTGTCCAAGGAAGAAGCTCATCCATTTAGAATCTTCATGGTAGTAAGAGACTTCTTAACAGTTCTTGACAGGGTCTGCAAAGAAGTTGGTATGATAAATGAGAGAACCATGGTTAGTTCTGCTCATAGATTCCCTGTTCCAATTAACCCCATGCTTCCACAACCCCTTCCTGGTCTACACGGAAAGCGACATTACAGCTCCTCAGATGATGATAGTCCATCTCCTTAGCCATATAGGGTGACACATCTTGGCTGCATCTTCTGTTAGAAAAAACCTGGAAGAACCAGGTGATTTTGACGGGTCTTGGGGTGCATGTATCTGGCCCAAATGATTTTTTTCTTTCCTTGTTAAATTGTATAAATCCGTGTAAAAGATTTGAGTTATATATAATAGATTATATATATATAGAGTAGAAGATTTTCTTTGGGATAAAATAAGCTTTGCCTTGTATGAATAGGACATGTATTATATATAAGGTTGTAATGTACAAAGCTTTTCAATTGGAGACAGAACTTGGTTGCAAATCCTCCATAGAAATCTATAGTAGCTAAATTCTAACAGATCTCAGTCTACTCCACTCTAAAAAAGGGTTAAGTCAGTTAAGCTAAATTCTTACATGTCAAGTTAGCAGAGATGACTTTATGTCACCTTAACAAATGTTTGTATTATAGTTAAGACAAATATATACAAAATATCAAACTTAAATAGTTTTTATATATACACGGAGTTTATATTTTTTCTTTTTCTTATATGGTTTTATGCATTTTTACATGGGTTTGCATTCTATCATTTAACATGATCACAAAAAGTTTTTACACACACAATATTTTGTGGGGCCCGTATGTTTTGAAAAAAAAAAAATTATAACATGCAAAACGAATCTCTATAACATAACACAATCACTTTTCCTACAACATAATTTTTATAAAACCTTTTTTATATATACATATAGGAGATAATTTTATCATTTATAACATGAAAGACATTAAACTTTGATTTTATACAAGGGAGGTGAAGTTTACTAAAATTGTGTGACTGAGACCGACCAAAAATGTTATTTATATAAAGGGAAACGATTAGTATTTAACTGACAGTTAATGTTTACTTCTTCATTTGAAGGCATATTCCATGTTATGTACAATTGCAAGCACGTGATGCAGTGGGGGTGAGAAGAGTCAAGAGTGTAGTTTAGTTGACCGATTAGGGAAGTAAACGGCAAAATAGAGAAGTTTCTCCCCATGACATGAGCCATGTGCCTGCAAAAAACATGTGAAGAACACCAAAGCAGGAAGGTACATAAATTCAAGCCAGACATTGGTCTTCGTTGTCTATTAAAAACAGGTTCATTCATGTACAAGTTATCTAAGCACCAGTTGTGCCTACTATCCGTTGGAAATATAAATTAACCAAACATAAAAAGGCTAACGGGTCAACAATTAAGTCAAACATGTACAATGAAATAGATGTTCTACCAAATAAATATAGTGTTTCAATTTTTGTTATACAGGAGAAAATTTTATCATGCTATAGACATATTTTATATGAAATTCATATCTACTAAAAACAAAAAAATATTGCACGAAAATTGAAAAATCACTTATAAAAGAAAACAATTCTAGAAAATGCTTTCCCGTAAATAAATATATAATTGTTCAGCCAATCAACTAGAAGCTGAAACTTTAGTTATTTAAGAATCATAAGTACTAAGTAGGCCCAAAAATTAAAGGTTTGGGCATGTCGGTGGCGTATGACATATTGACATGGCTAGTCTGAAGTCCATTCTCTATATAGCAATCCTTCACCATAATGGTCATTTTCTTCTTCTAGAGTGAATAAGCAAAATTGTATCTATTCTTGGATGGGGAAGGATGAACTGCAAGTCTAAAAATTATTATTTTTAATAAATGAGAACTATAGATACAAGAGTTGAAACCAAAACTTATAAATTCATATAAACTATTCAAGCACTTCACAATTAACTTTTGGGTAAGTCTAAAAGGTATCATCATTCAATCACCTTTAACTATCTTGTCCGTAAAGTACGATTCTAGAGCTAGCTTCTTATTAAAATAGAGGGTGTATTAAATTAAAGGGTAATGTAAGATTGATCCCCACCAAAACTTAGAGTGCAAAGGTTTCATCTCTAGTCCTAAATTTTTTTTCTTCAAGAATTGAATGAATATTTATTTAATGAATCTTGAGGCACACTCCATTATAAAGTATATTTATTTAATGAATATAAGTATATACAAGAATTTTATGTAATGTGAGATTTGAACTACACATAAATGATAATGATTAAGTTTGAAAGAAATTGATGGTAACATTGTTATATATAACTTGCCTTTGAATTTCGGCGTACCGCGTACACCATCTTTGTTACAGACACCAAAAAAATTTACTAGTTAATTGCTGTTTCTCTTGCTACTCTCATGCTCTCTAGAATTCATGCGCACATGTTCCTATATATGAATAACTGCAAGTTTTCATTATCTAAGCTCTCTAATATTCGATTACTAAAATAAAAATAAGATCTCTAATATTCAGGATGCTTCCTCCTCTATTGGTGGCACAACATTCCTAAGTTCAGTAATTAACTATTGCCTCAGGATGTAATCTGAAAATGAAATAGAAATTATTCGACACCTGTAAATTAATTTTCAGCCACATTGTTTTTTTTTTCTTTCTCATTTGTTTTTCCCTGTAAATTTTCTTTCAATTTCCAATAGTTTTCAAATGTTGAATTTAGATAATTTTATCTTATGCACACACAAAAAAGTGGATGAAACTTGCTTTTTTTTTTTATCTCTCTTTTCCTTAATAGGCCCCATCCATTTTTTTATGTATGTTGCGTGAGACAAAATTATCTCATGTAACATAAAAATATAATACCCTTTAATTTATCGTATAAAATCTTTTTTTAATATTTATCTACTCATTATTTTTCTTATTGGCTTTCGTTTCCTTCTCATTAACAATAACTTATCTACAATGTCATTTTGTAGGACCGATTTCAGTCAATTGAAGCACTTATACAAAGTGATTTTCTGAATTCAACTTATTCAAATGACTATAAAATTTCAATAAAAAAGGTGCATCATCATATTAAAAAAGTTTAATATGAATTCAACTTATTGCTTATGAAGGTACGTGTATTAAATGAAGAGTAGGTAGAAAGAATTGGTCATTTCAAACAAAACCAGACAGAGCCATAAAACTCGCGGGAATGTTGTCCCCCCACAGAACCGTTCACAATGAATGTTTGTGTGATCAAGATCAAGCTCACCACGTTTTCCAAAAACATTCTAATCTTGCACTAAAACTCACACAACTTCCCGGAAAATTTGTTGTTGTTCTTTGCTAATATTACAAAGTTCCAACATTTTACTATAGGCCATTTTGCATTTTTTTTTTTTAATTTTTTGTTTTGTTTGGTTCCTTACATAATTCATTCCTATGCCAAGAATATTTGATTCTCTTGGAAAATTTGTGGCATCACATCTTGCATAGAAAACACACAATTCAATTTTTTTTTTTTTTAAATTTCCTATTCATTTGAATGTACTTGAAGGAAGGAATTTTAATTTGGTTTTGTACCAAATTTGAAAAGCTTTGATCTGCATCAGTTTCACACTAGAAGGAGCTTGATCTCAATCTCCTTCTTTCATTTTTTGATTGGTTAGCATCTAAACTCATTGATGAATTATATTTGTTTTCTTTTGTGAATGAATATTCAGCCCCCTCTCTTTCTTTTCAGGAATTGTTTTAGATCAAAACCAAGTTATGGAACAATTTAGACAGATTGGGGAGGCACTTGGGAGTTTGAAGGCTGTGATGTTATTCAGGGAGAACATTCAAATCAATCAGAGGCAATGTTGTCTCTTGTTGGATGTATTCAGCTTTGCATATGATTCTATTGCAGATGATATTGTACAGAACCTTAAATTTGAAGAGAAGAATGGGAAGTGGAAGGTTCTTGAACAGCCCTTGAGAGAGATCCACAGGATTTTCAAAGAAGGAGAAGTTTACATTAGGCATTGCTTGGAAACAAAGGATTGGTGGCCTAAAGCCATCACATTGTGTCACAACACAGATTGTGTTGAGTTTTACATACACAACTTGCTTTGTTGCATGCCCATTGTAATTGAAGCTATTGAATCTGCTGGAGAAACATCAGGGTGTGATCAGGATGAGATGCAAAGGAAGAGGCTTATCAACTCCAACAAGTATAGGAAAGAATATAAAGATATGAAAACTTTCCAGTGGAAATTTGGGAAGCAGTATCTCATTACTCAGGACTTGTGCAACCGTTATGACAGAGTTTGGAAGGAAGATAGATGGTTTCTTCTCAACAAAATCCATGAAAAGAAAATGTCAGGTGCAACAAAGTATGAGAAGAAGTTAATAGATCTTCTTTTGAGGAATTTAGAAAGATCAGAATCACTGGAAGGGAAGCTCCTTCCAAGCTCAATATTGGTTGGGTCTAAGGACTACCAAGTGAGGAGAAGAATGGATAATGGGAGTCAGTACAAGGAGATTCTATGGTTAGGTGAAAGCTTTGTCATAAGACATTTTTGTGGGGAAATTGAAGCCTTGGGAGCTGAGATCAAAGAACTTTTATCTCTTTCACATCCAAATATAATGGACATTCTTTGTGGTTTTACTGATGAGGAGAAGAAGGAATGCTTTTTGCTAATAGAAATGATGAGCAAAACCCTTTGCACCCACATCAAAGAGATTCATGGCCCAAGGAAGCGAATACCATTCTTGCTTCATGTGGCAGTTGATCTTATGCTTCAGATTGCCAGAGGAATGGAATATTTGCATTCAAGGAAAGTATATCATGGAGAACTAAACCCTTCAAACATTCTTGTTAAGCCTAGAGGTACATCCCCAGAAGGTTACTTGCATGCCAAGGTATCAGGGTTTGGCCTATCTTCTGTCAAGGACTTGAACCAGAAGGGGAATACAAATCAGAATGGAACTCTCCCATTCATTTGGTATTCTCCAGAAGTTCTTGAAGAGCAAGAACAACCAGGGGGTGCAGCACACTCCAAGTACACAGAGAAATCTGATGTGTACAGTTTTGGAATGGTTTGCTTTGAGCTTCTAACTGGTAAAGTCCCTTTTGAAGATAGTCATCTTCAAGGGGAGAAAATGAGCAGAAACATAAGGGCAGGAGAGAGGCCACTTTTCCCACTCAATTCACCAAAATATGTTATCAACTTGACAAAGAAATGTTGGCATACTGATCCAAATCAACGTCCGAGCTTCTCCTCCATATGTAGAGTTCTTCGTTATACAAAAAAATTTCTTGCAATGAATCCCGGTTACAATAGCCAGCCAGAACCACCATTGCCACCAGTAGATTACTGTGATATAGAGTCAGCTCTTTTGAGGAAGTTTCCTTCTTGGGGAAGTTCTGAAGCATCATCAATATCAAAAGTTCCATTTCAAATGTTTGCCTATAGTGTTCTAGAACGAGAAAAAATAAGTACATGCTCTAAGGAAAACTCTGAATCTGGAAGTGATGCTTCAGCCTGTGGTGATGATCATGTTACTTCTGGGGATGAGCCATTTCCATCTACAACTGAAAGGAGGTCATTATCAGTAGGATCTGAGAGTATGATGAGGAGGCTTACAATGAACAGGAAATCTCTAGATTTGAAGATCATCAAACAACCAGGTTACTTTCTATCTTTTTTGCTTTTGTTGGTATCCATGAAATTCTTATAAACAGCAATTGATGATTCTTAAAAAGCTAATGTTTGAATTATACATTCACTATACAAACTCCATCATGCTAAGGATGCAAAAATGCCTGCTAAAAAGAGCCTAATATAATTACAGAAGTATTTTAGATATCAAATTTTTTTGCATTCCATGCTGATATCATTGATTAATGAAAAAAAGAAAACGACTATTATGTCGCATATTAAGTTACCTGAAAATGTATCATAATTTGGTGGACCGAGTAGGATTTCTAACAGCATGTGGATATCTTTTGTGAGAAATTTCAACTCAGAACAAGTACAATTTATGGTCTCTGAAATGGTATATAGCATTACAAGGAATTTAGCAAGCCCAAAAGAAGTACTTCCAAGAACTACTGTTACTTGAGTTGACAATACATCATGTTCTCATAATTTTACAAAAAAATTTCACATCAACACTACTGAACGAAGTAATGCATATAAACAAGAGAAATTATTGAAATATACAATTTTTTACCATTCTGTGCATGAACACTTAACACTGAGTAGAACAGCATATGAAAGCATGAAATTCTGAGAAAATATCCTAGGTACATCAGCAATAAATACTTTCAATGTTACATCAAGATTAATACTTAATTGAATGCTAATTGTTTCTTGACATGGTCTTGTGTTTTTCGATGCAGGTACACCAAGAGGGAGAACAGCTAGACCTCCACAAATATCTCCTCGTGGAAGAACTCCGAGGATTAATTCAGAGAACCACCTAATATCAAGTCCAAGAATAATAAGAAGAGCATCTTCTGGTCATGTCTCAGACTCTGAGCTTTCTTAGATCACACAGCATATCGTCATCAGATAGCTTGACCAATTATAAACTCAAAGACTCTTCTCAATTGCAAGGAAGGATTCACATAATTAACTTAAGTAGTTTAAATTAAGGTATTCTTGACATAACTAGTTTTGTGACCAAGGATAGTAACAGCAAAACGTACTGTGACTGACTCCTTGTCTTCATGTCACAGCGAGTCTCTAAAAAATGCATTAAAAAATTTTCCCCCACCATTTCCTTGTCCTCACTGACTAGGTGGAAATAGAAACTGGTCAATTCAACACTGTAGTTCTGCAAAAATCTTTCAAACATAACAGGAAACTAAAACAAAAGATAGAAAAGGTTTCATCAGTTCTACCTAAGGTCTCATTCTTTACCAATCTTTGACAGGATATTCTTTTTCAGTAAGTGATAACAAAGTACTTTGAAAGAAAAAGATGACCAAAGGAAGATAGAATTCTGAGCATCATAGGGCTAGAATTGGCAGCACATAGGAATAAACATGCAAATTTTGCATAATTTTAAATGATGATGTACAAGTAATATTTTAAACATCGTGTCAACTACAGTTAGTTTTTGCAAATAAATGCAAACCATAGATGATATCATGTACATTTTTGATAAATTACAAGTAATTTGGAAGTTAAGGCAACTAGTATATCTCTAGACTGCATCCAGATCTGCTTTAGTAATATGTTTTTCACTTCCTTTACAGACTGCAGTCTCAGGACCATGGATGTATTGATGCAAGGAGCTATTATGAGAAGGGACTTGTGAAACAAATTTGGCTGTTTCAAGTTCAACAAAACTTTCAGGTCTGTCTGGTGCCCCTCCCATTGATTAGAAGTTCTTGAAGGAAAAAAATTTGCATTGCACTTTGGAGGGTGTGCTAATACACAGGAGCAGTAATGGATCAGAGGAAATCACAAGTCATGGGTGATATTTTGAAGAGACTTGCATGCTCCAGCTTCACCAGTGCTTCAGTTCAAAAGCCTATATTTGTACATGCTTCATACATTTCTTCTTCAGTTTATTTTGGTTCAGATTTTAAGAAAAAGTGCTCCTCATGTTATATTGTAGAAAACAAACTCCTGACAGGATTACCCATCCGTTGAAATTAAAGAGACACCTCTGTGAATTAAAGCAAATGGTGACCCCACTCTTTAAGCTTTATTCCCCATTAATCATTAAATCCTGAATAAAGCACTGGTTTGAGTTCATCCCAAATAAAGTGTATGCCAAGTCGGGAATGAATCCTCTCATGTGACATGAGGTAATGAGAAAGAATCTCTTACCATCCACAAACAAATCAACAATTATCTTTTCCCATTTCCCATTCTAATGTTCACTCTATGGAGTTAATTTGTTTGTGGACGGTTGAGATTCTCTCGCATGATCTCATGTTATATAAGAGAATCTATTCCCGCGCAATAAATCAAAATATTATGGTCTCAGGAACTGAACTGCTTTTCAGGTTTCAGTGTTAATGAAATATGTTATCTTTTCTGTCAGACCATCTGCAGTAGTTTCACAATTCCAACTGAGTTGGCGGCAACAAGCATGTTAGATTTCTTTCTCCAGCAAACACTAGAAACAAACTGTCCATTATTATCACCACTATTTGAATGACCAGAAATGGGATCAATTGACTCAAATTTGTGAGAAGCAATTGGCACTGGCAAAGATTTGTGATAACAGTATACCTGAAAGGTAAAGATGTTTAAAATGAATTAGAAGTTTTTATCTTTTTATCACATATTTAATAGCAAAGTCAATTAAGAGAAACAAGCTTCAATAGATATTATTGGCGTGATCTAAATAAGAATAACCCAATCACCTTTCTCATCTGTTTTAGTTTGGTAGAATAGGGTATATTTTATCTGAGGCACAAGGGCCTAAGCTCAATTAAATGCTGCTGCTACATGCATTATGCATACCCTTGGCTTGATGTTTAGCCTATCTATTGGACATAAAATTTTAAGCAGTATTTGCTAAAGAAAGTGAGATTAGGGAAGGCCATTTGTTGATGAACATATGAACATCTAATCATGAATTATGGAAGTACTAACAGTGTAAAACGAGATTAGTCTACATGTAACTCCATTTTATGATCAGGCTCCTAAAAACAATGAGTAACCTAAAAGAGAAAAATCCCCAAAATCAAGAGACACTAATTTCATTGCCCACTGGTAGTGCAGAATGTGAAATATTTAGCTGGCCTCATGACACAATCAGCATTCCAGGGACTAAAAAATATACCATATTATAAAGTCAAGGTTACGATAAAATAAAAGCTATACCTCATTAGATTCTGAACCACATGCAATATATCCATCCAAAACAGATAAACCCACGAAATTCTGAAGAAGAAGATGAAAAATAAACAATTAGAAACAGACAAAAGAAGACAAAAAGTGAGGTAAAACATGTAGAGAAACCAACCTTTTCATTTCTATGACCTTTAAAGGTTAAGCCACAAGCATCAGATGACAACTCAGAAGAGCTGGTTTTCTTCAGGTTCCATAGCTTCAAAGTGTTGTCAGTGGAAGCAGAGACAACTGTTTCAGCATCTAGAAATTTCACATAGCTAACAGTTTTTCCATGACCAGCTAATGTGCACAAAGGGATTCTAGTGTGACGAAGATCATAACCATACACCTTGTAATCAGCTGATCCAAAAAATATAAGATGGGTTGAGTATGCTGAGAACTGAACACAGCATACATTGGCAGGGCTCCATATGGTTCCTAAAGAATTTCTCTGCAAAATCAACCACCATTTGAGACAATTATTGTGTGCTGTGAATAAAAAAAAAAAATTGTTACCATATCCTCTTCTTCGTTTAATGAACTTTGTTACTAAAATTGTGTTTGTTGATCGGTTAACGAATAACTAAAATTTTCACATGACATGATCATGTTAAAACAAGATTTCATATTATTCTTTCTTCTGGGGAAGGGGCAAAAGAATGTGAAAAAAATTCTACTATATAGCTTCTTTAAAGAACCAATTCAACCCAATTAATGGTTTTATATATCTCAACACGATCCCTCACACGAGAGCCCACTGGGCTTGAAAAGTGGATAATGCACATGTCCACCTACATGTGCGAATAATATAAACCATTAAAAAGATCTTCACCCAACACCTTAAGGTTTTGGGTTGAATTGGTTCTTTACATGGTATCAGAGCCTTAGTGACCATAAAGTCACGAGTTCGATCCTCACCGCCTCCCGCTTTCTAGTGAAATTAAATAAAAGCACAAAAAGATAAACCAAAAATTGGGCCTGTGCAATATCCACGCTTCAAGCCCAAAGGGCTCTTGCGTGAGGGGGTGTGTTAGAGAATAATATAAACCACTAAAAAGACCTTCACCCAACACCTTAAGGTTTTGGGTTGAATTGGTTCTTTACAGCTTTAAATATTATAAAAGGGTTGAATGTTTCTTCTGTAAGTTGGAAATAAGTTATCTCCTACATACACGGAGAGTGGGAGGATCCCTTTTTCTCTCTCATTTTGCCTCACAGGACTCCACCTACTCCCTATATTTGCAGGTATCTTCAGCTTGCAAGAGAAACATTAACCTTAATATAAAATACCAATATAATGTTTTAGTAATGGCTTGTTATTAAAATGTATAAAAGAATGCATACCTCGCTGATATTCCAGAGTTTCACAGAGCAGTCATCACTTCCACTAGCAAACATTTTTGGGTCGGAAAGAGAAAAGTGAACAGACCAAGCTCTCTTTTGGTGCTCCATGTATTGAGACAATGGCTGACCAGTGCCTGCATCCCACATCTGAATTCATCCACACAAGTTATACTGTTAATATCAATGGAAACCTAAGAAATAATCAACAGCAAAAGCAATGATATCATAGTTTGGTTGGTATGAAAGAAAGGACATGACCAAAATAGTTTGGTTTTCATCAATTATAGTTTTAATGTTACAAAGATTACACACCTGAACCACACCATCATAGTCAGTAGATGCCAGATGATTTTTTATGTAAGTGTTCCAACACACACAGCTAAGTTTTGATTTATTTGACATCTCAACTACAGGGTATTGGATGTCAATAGAATCACTAGAAATAGTATTGAGGTCAAAAATCTTGATTTTCTTTGAAACTCCACCTGCTGCAATGTAATCCTCATCACGGTCAAAACTTAAAGCACATGTTACATTAGCAGAACTAAGAAGATCTCCATTTCTTAATGTACCACACTCTTGAAACTTGCTGTAACGAGCAAACTTGCATAATCCTTCAAAGAAGGGTCCTAGACAACCAACAGAACTCCGAATTTTCCTTGGATCCTTATTAGCATTCTCTACATGAGGCAATCTCAATCTACTTTCTATCACATTTTTATCATAGCTTGCAACAGCTGAAACTTCTTTAACCAGAACTTGGGATCTCATGGAAAAGTAAGAATTCTCTAGCTGATTTATGTTACTCATAAGTCTTGCTTCATTAGCAAATGACCTTGGAATAGGTCTACTAATATCTAAAGTGGAAGGATCTTGAAAATGTAAACTGTTTCCTTTCAATTTAGGATAGCTCATTTGTGCCAGAGTAAATAATGAATCTGTCCCAGATGAATAACTCCTTTCTACTTCCTTAATATCTTCATTCAAGCAATTTAGCTCTTCTGCCAACTTGGCTGCCTGTTTTTTCTTATTTTCTTCAAGTGAAATTAAAAAGTGTATTAATTCCTCAGTTTCAGCCTTATCATCATCAGTTACTGCAGCATCATCTCCAGAATTTGATTCCTCTGGTTCACATATAAATTCAGATTCTAAAATCATCCTGTTAAACATAAAAGGAGATTCACAAAATTATAAAGGAGACACAGGATGCCCCTTCAACATCAATATCAAAATTCTTTCAGCCATATGATGATTATTTAAACATATTAAGGAAAGTAAAGATATTGTGTTACTTTTTCTGAACAGTTATCTTTATTTACAAAGAGCCAAGAAGTATCAAGGTGCCAATGGCCAAAAATAATTAGCACTAGGTGCTAGAATGAAGTCTGGATAATAAAGAAATGCCAAAATTCAAAACCCACTAATGAATGATTACCACCTGAATAGCATGTCCTCAACCAAGGGAAACTAATAACAAAATACACTAAGCTGCAATCTGTTTCCTAGTCTTTTTACATGGATATTTGACCAAGTTTTTATGGAGCTTAGAGACATTTTATAAACACTCCTTTTTATCCCTTTCTCCCATTTAGTGCTCTGGTTTGTCAAGCATTATGAACAATAAGAGTATCAGTTTGGCTATCCTATCACGTTAAGAAGGAGCTTCTTTTTATTCTCTAAAAGCTAAGGTTGTACAATAAGAATATCAAGCAACTCTCTCATGAAACAAGGGTTGCAGAAATCAAATATTAATGAGTTTCACATAAAATTTAAAAGTACTTGTAACTACTGATATTATGATATAAGCTAATAAGTAGAGCAGAAAATAATTGATGTAACCAAATGGAACCATGCTAATTACACAATTATAGCAGTCACAACTTTGCACTACTGCATACATTGCTTCGTAGACTAAAACAGAGACATGTACAGTTCTGTAGATAGTATTGCTCAATCCTATGTAAGGCCAGTCAAAAACATGGTAGAAACTTTAATTTTTCCAAATGGTGTCCTAAATTTCGTTCAACGTCACTACTATCATCGTCCATCATGAAGCCGGTAAAGATGATACTGTCAGAATGCACCTTCTGAGTATGAAAAATTTTACAGATTCAAATGAGACAGAAACATAGCACCACGTATAAGAACAACAGCATATTACATTACCTGGTATTGGGGCGAGAAGAAGGTTCAGGATGCAGAAGCCAAAGACAAAAACCAGCTTCCCTTGGATTTTCTGACAGAAATCTTGGCGGTAAGATTCTATGACACAAATCCAACATCATTGTTGAATGCGCCTCCCATGACTCAAAATTGCACAGCAACTAAAGGAAGCATTAACATAAATGTCAACAATATGACTGAGAAGCAACTTATGCAGTTAAAAAGACCAACATATTTAACTACTCTAATCCAAGAAGTTTCAATAGAACTCAGTAACTTGAACATCAAGGTTTCCATGTCATTTCCAAAAATTAAGGATAAACCCCGGTGCCCAAGGATCCCAACTTGTGAGGGTAGGGGTAAAGGTCGATTGTATGCAGCCTTACTCTAGCATTTTTGCAAAAAAGCTATTTCCCATACTCGATCTCGTGACTTTCCAATCACAATAAACAACCTTACTGCTACTTCAAGGCTCACCCTCATTAACATACGGGGAAAAAATAAATGGTGTAAATAAGAGCTATATGGTTAGTTTAAGAAATGGAATACAACAAAATAATTTGGCTACCAAGAGGAAACACTAGAAGATAAAGCTTTACAAAAAGTAACAATGGGTGAGAAATAATACTAGCTTACCTCAAAAAGAAGAATTCCAAGGCTATAAATATTTGATGAAAACGTGCAAACTCCCTCATTGAGCTCTTCTGGACTACAATACCACTTTTCTTCTAACTGAATGGTTACAGACATACAATGCTTTTCTTCAGTAAAAGTATGTTGACAACTGAAATCATTTTGGCACAGAATTTCTTTATTCCTTGATTCCAAGGGCCTGTTTCTGTAAGATTCATTCTGATTCACTGTTGTAGACCTGCAGCCATGAATAAAGGTGGAGTGGTCCTGCTGCCTAAGAGATCTTGTTTCCTCACAAAGCTTTTGCTGATTAGCACTGAAACTTTGGCAAGCACAGATATCCTGCTCCAAAGGCCTTTTCCTAGTCACATTGCAGGTCATGACTTTATTATGTAACTCTAGTTGGCCACATGAACCAATGTATTTAATTTTACTTGCAGAGGATAAAATGAAACAAGATGGTCGTAAGTCTTGCAAGAAAACCCCTTGTGAGTGTGCAAAATCAACCAAATCCAAGATCTGCTTAAATATATGTAGCCTTTCTGATTTCTTCATTTCATGACCTGAAGATTTCAGCCACCCTCTTAAGTTGAGTCCATCGTTTAAAGATTCTGTGCCAGACATGTCAGTTCCTTGCAAGGAAGGCTTATTATCATCATCAATATTTGATCTCAGAAATGTATCAGATTGAAACTTAGTTGCAAAAGCAGGTTTCTCATCCTCTTGCCTTTTGTCTAAATCTTTGTAAATAACTCCCTTTCCCTTCATTGTTTGCTTTACAATCAATTCAGGAAAATTATATGTAGATGAAGGTTTCTGCATTGTGTTGCTAACAAGATGTGCATTGCTTGAGGTGCTAGTCTTGTCCATATTGCTTATATTTATAGGGTCTTTCAGTAGCTCATGATTTAAGTTCTTGCTACACAAAGACTTCAGGCCCCAAAATCCAGAATCAATTTCCTTAAGTCCTTTGCTTAATCTATGTGGTATCTGCTCTTCAACCTTTGGTACAATTTCTCTACTCAAAGTATTATACTTAGACTCAATAGCCAAATGATTCTTCTGAGGCTGTCTTGAATTGTGAGAGTGGCTAAGTAAACCTGTATTTGGGTTCTTATAATTCCTAACATGTAACTCTTCAACAATGTGTTCAGAATCAGTCATGGAACAAAAACTAGTACTAGCAGTTCCAGATCCAGCTAAGGAAGTAACATATCTACTCAAACCATTATCTTCATTACCAATCACATTTTCATTTGGTAAACTCTCTGGCCAGTCCTTCTTAATAGGTGTGCACAATCTAGGTGACCTTGGCATATTTTGCTGTCTCCCTGGCTTGAGAAAAGGATCATTAGTTTTTCTCTTGTGCTCCTCAGTCATGTCTTTCAATAGTCAATCCGAGCAATCCAAATGCAGTTCAATCAATTTGAAAAACCTGCAGTAAGAAAATTTCAGATCAATAAGTTTATAATATATATCATTAGTGAAAAACCTCAACATAAAGTGACAAATGATGAAAAAGACTGAAACACTATGAATGTTTTGGACAACACACGGGAACAGTGGACTCATATCATCAGACAAAACAAATGGGGTGCAAAAAACATAGATGTAGAAAAGGTATTTTCCTTTGTAAAAGGAAACAGAATTGACATTTTGATGAGAAAAGATGAAATCAACCATTTTGCTCACATGGACTACACAGATTGTGAAGCAACAACATATATAAACAATGAACAAAGTAGTCCTTCAGAGAGAGATAGTAACAATGGAACTTCAAACCAGAAATCAGAGAACAAAAGGGATAAAATAAAATGATAAAGAACATGGTTACCTAGAGTTCCTTGTAAGGGAAAATATCTTGGCCACCACACTGACAAGGAACAAATACTTGAATTCAGAATAAAGCAAAACCTGGGTTGGTAGTTTGTGTTGGATATTTATTATAATTATTATGGACAGAATTTAATAATTTTTATAAAGTTTTTCATTTATAATAAACTACAGATTTGTCCATGTCTGAGGCAAAAAGTGCAGCCACGATATTTTGTTTCATGGCCGCAGCCAGCTACACACATTTTCTTTCAAGATATTTTGTTATGAATTGTGTCGTAAGTCAACAATTTAATCTTTCTTGATTTTTTTTTTATTTGTTTTAAGTTATGCATAAAATTTGAGGCTAGTTTAGTCTTTTGATTTGCCTAGTTACTTAGGAGCTACGAAGCACTGACACATGTGTCGTATCCGATAGGGGTGTTCACGGTCTGGATTGGATCGATTTTAGAAGCAAAACTCATCCGATCCAATCCCTTCGATTCGATCATGTAATTATCTATTCAGTTTAGATTTTTTTTCAAATCCGATCCGATCCAATCCAATTTTTTTCGGTTTCGATTGGATCGGTTTTCGATTTTTTGAATATTCTAAAATTAGTTTCATAATTATTGTGCAAATAACATCTTTTGTATATATTGGCTTTGTAAAAAAAAAAATTGAAATAAAAAAATATAAGTAAACAATACTATAGTTGATGAGACGTGGCTAAGTTTTTTCTTGGGTTTAGTTGATGAGTTAATGAGTCTTGAGTTTAGAAATTTTTGGGCTATGATTGGGAAAAAGACCAACTAGGTAGAGGAGAATTAATATATTGGATCGGTTTGGATTGGATCGATTTTCATCAACCCATCCGAAAACCGATCCAATCCAAATAAAATTTGCAGTTTTTTTTTTCGGTTTTCGATTTTTCGGTTTTCGGTTCGGTTTTCGCGGTTTGAATCGGTTTGGATCGGTTGATGAACACCCCTAGTATCCGACACTTCTAGACACTCAGTAATTGCAAAGATTCAAAAAATATTTAAAGTTATGTTGCATTGCATTTTGAGTTCCAACAATTATATTTGTTAGATTACAATTACAATTTTATTGAGTTTAATATAAATATTTAGAATATCTTATGTTTCTTTGTAAAATTAATGAGTATTATAAGTATAGTTTTATTTTTTTTTGTTAAATTATTGAATATTAAATATAATATACACAACATAAATTTAAAATATTATATAATATCAAAATGTGTCCTGACATGTCAAAATCTAACATATTTTAAAATTAACGTGTCGAAGTATCGTGTCGTGTCATATCTTGTGTTTCGTATCGGTGTCGGTGCAACATAGCTTAGGAGGTCATCCTTTGTGGCATGTTAGTTAAGAACAAGATAGGAAAATTGAATAGATTACTCAAAACTCATATAGTTTAATATTTCTTGTGTTATACGAGATAAATCTATCTCCTGCACACATAATAATACGTAAGGCTTATATAGACCCATGTGAGAAGAAAAAGAAGAAGAAAATAACATGGATATGTCATGTGTATATAAAAAATAAATTTATTTTTTATAATATGAAAAATATTAAATCCAAACTCAAAGTCGGGTTTAACTTTAATGCCATCACAATTTTATATTTTTATTTTATTTTAATGGAATATAATAATAGGAAAAAATTACTCTCATGCTACATGTGATAAATTTCTCTCCTACACATCTTTTGATAACTGTGTCACTTTTTTCTTTTCTTTTATTTTTATTTTTCAGGTGGTGAAACCCACAAGTTTATCTCTATGACATGAGATAATTAATCTTCTTTAACATGAGATTAATAAAATGGGAAAATAGCTTCTCCTGTTAGGAAGAAGTCTATTCTCCTGCTAAGTGCTAATCAAAAATTACAACAATTAATTTTTTTTAAAATAAAATAAAACATGGTGGGTCCTATGATTAAATCTCTCTATAGGAATGGAATCAATTCTCCTGTTACCGGAGAATTGATTACCCCTTAATAAAATCCATAATAATAAGGGCCTAATATTTTTATTATTGTTGTAGAATTTTTTTTTTGATCTAGTGACATTCGAAGCTAGTTTCATTCGTGAGAGTTGTAATTACTGGCAAAGTAAAAAGGCTTAAACTAAATCTCAAGGGTAGTTCAGTTGGCAACTGAGTTCTCAAGGATTTGCTTGGAGCAGAGATTTAAATCATATCTCAAGCAAATTTTTGAAAAATATTTAAGGGTAAGAGAATGTGTCTCTCTCCTTTAAGGATAGTCTCATCTTTTCTCTGATAGCGAAGTTTAATACACCTATTATTCTAATGAGGAGTAGCCTTTAGACCATACTCCAAAGAACCGGAGGAGGTTGAACAAGAATACCTCCGGGCCTCCTGGGTTATAAAAAAAAAAAAAAAAACCCTCAAACTGAAACAGGATTAACGGAGCCCATTGGAATATAATATGTGTGGTTAGTAAGATTACACGAGATAAGATACAACGATCAATGGTTACACGTAGCAGCAGCGTGATCTGATTGTAATTAATGCCAGCATTAGTGGCATTTATAAAAGCGTAAAAGGAGAGGTCTGCGATGTTTTGATGGGTCCTACTTTGAACGTGCCGCTGATATTATTTAGATCATATCATATGTCGTGGCTACTTTGTGGCCACATTCTTACTTATTCACGTCACGCAATGACGCCAGCCAAAAAATAAAAGAAGTAATAGTTATTTTTATTAAAATTATTATTTATAGTAAAAATAATACTGTTTTCAATTTTAATTTTGTATTCATATTATATTATATTATATTTTTAATAAATAAAAATTCTACTACAACCAAACAAACCAACGTTTTGAGAGTTGAAAGAAATAATGACGGATATTTTAATAAAATTCATATAATAAATAAATAAATAAATTTTTAAAGAAAAAAGTTCACCTATGTCCGTGTGATTTACTTCAGAATCATCTATATTCTTGTATTTTTTTATCATATATACCTCTATGGTTTGCAAAAAAGAAAATTATCATGTCATTTTGCTTAACACTGTTAAATATTATTCAATTCTTCTAATTTTGCCCCAGAAAACACTATTTAATAAAATAAAACTTAAAATCTTGCCTAGCTAACATATTTGGAACATCGACCAAAGTGTTACTGTTTGGCAAATTTTTTATTCAAATATTACGCGAATAGTACTTTTTACCAAACTGTCATGCGACATAATTCACTACGACTGGTAGCGAATTACGTTTGCCAATGATTTTGTGACACGTGATACATTTTCGCAGAAAAAAACTGAATGAACGAAATTCGTTACTAGTGGTCGCGAATTTGGTACGCAATGTGGCCAAGTATCACGAAATCATAGGCAAGTTCGCTACCAGTCATAGCAAATTACGTCACATGGTAGTCTAATAAAAAGTACTATTCGTATGACATTTGAGTAAAAAAATGATTAATTAGTGACACTTTTGTCACTATTCCAACATATCCCTTAAGGATTTGCCACGTCCCTTAAGGCATAAAAGAAACATTTATATGAACTAGCTTATTTAAATTGGAAATTTTTGGCTGTCTATCTGATAATAATTCTTGTCAATTTTGGCTGTCTATCTAAACTAGCTTATTCAAATTAGACATTTTCTTCTCTAAACTAGCTTATTCAAACTAGAAATTTTATTTTCTGTTTATAGCCAATATTAATTCTACACAGCACCTCAATCAATATTTCTATACACACTTGTTGAGTTATATTCCAAACAGAACCAAAATAAAGCAAGATAGATTTCACAAATGGACTAATATAACCTGTTCAATTTGGCAAATCAATTTATATTAACTCAATAAGCAAGTCTACATCATAACATGCTCCATCTATTATATTTACATTATATCAAATCTAAAAGCAACTCTACTTGTAGTTTGCACTTCACAAAATGTACATGAGTGCATTATACTTTATCATATCAAAATTTGTTTTCTTCCTGCTGCTCAATTTGTCAATTTGTCATGTTGAATATAAATTGATTTTCCAAATTGAGCACGTATGTACGTCCATTTGTGAATTCTATCTTGCTTTATTTTGGTTTCATTTGGAATATAACTCAATAAGCGTGTGTAGAAATAATGATTGAGGTGCTGTGTAGAATTAATATTGGCTGTTAATAGTGAAGAAAATGTCCAGTTTGAATAAGCTAGTTTAGATAGATAGACGAAATTGACAAGAACTATTATCAGATAGTCAGCCGAAAATGTCCAGTTTGAATAAGCTAGTTCAGATAAATGTCCCTTTTATGTCTCAAGGGACGTGTCAAATCCTTAAGGAATATGGTAGCTGGGTAAGATTCTAAGTTTTATTTTATTAAATAGTATTTTTGGGGGCAAAATAGGAAAAATCAAATAATATTTAACAGTGTTAAGCAAAAAAGACATGGTGGTTTTCCTTCTTGCAAATCATAGGACATAGGTGATTCTGAAGTAAATCACAGGAATATTGGTGAACTTTTTCCATTTTTAAAATATTTTTCATTAATTTCTTCGATTCTCAAAATAATGTAATTTTGGAATTACTGAAAAATAACTTTATCTTTTGTTACGAGACACAGTAAACCCATAAAAATAAATGTTGTTTAAAATTGTGTTCTTGAATCAGAAAAACCGAAAGAAACAATAATATATATGCATGATACTAAACTATAATACTGTAATACATCGAATGTCTAGCTATGTTTGATATGATAATTCACTTCATACTTCAAGAACAAGGAAGACTTACTCTTAGTTTGACAAATTTTTTTTATAAATAATGATTATGTGAAGTTTATAGGATAAATATTAATTGAAGTAGGATATTCATACTATCATTTTTTCTATTATTAATCTGTTAATACTTTAATTATCATTGGATCAAACTTTTAAGCAATTTTTTTTTCTCTATTCAGCCCATTTTTTACTAAAAAGTTTGATCCAACGATAATTAAAGTGATCGTAGATTGATAGTAAAAAAAGTGATATAATATGAATATCCT